AGCAAGAGGCTTACGTTATGATAAAATAATTCTCAGTTTCCATCAGCTATGCAACTGTGCTCTTAGACCAAACCCACAGATACATCTTTCCTAGTCAGCAGTGAGATTATCTGTGCCACTGGACTGAACCCAGCAAACGGAAAATGCCTTTGCTTAGCGTTTTGCCTTTGTATCACAACATGTTGTCCCATGACTTGAGCTTTTATTGTCTAGTTCATCCATTCTGGTATAGTCAGGCCTTCATGAAAAGTTCCAAAGAGACCAGGTGAAAAATGAAATTGTTATGACCATACTTTAAAGGGAAAACAAGGTAACATTTGTAATGGACAACAGATACAATTCTGATCATTGCTGCTCTGTTTTTCCATCTATTATAATTCCAAGCTCTCATACTGAGCTCAGTGCCACTCAAGAGCCAACAGAATGAGAAACAAAACCAGTAAGATACAGATTTCAGTCCATGAACTTTTTGCATTCAATCCTGCACAAGAAGTTCTCATCCTCACCTTCCTTTGTATACCAAAGATTTATAGAAGACTGACTAGGATGGTCAATGGCCTAGGAATAACTTATACAGGTGGTCCTTACATAGACTAAGACTTCCCTTGACCTGACACCAGTGCAGGAAACTATGCCAGAAGTTTCAAATTTGAAGCAGCTCTGGAAAGCATGACTGGAAATAAATCAGCTGCTGTCTCCTCCATTGTAAAAAACAGATGCATCAAATGAATCTAACAGCAGACAAGCCCCCAAAATGAGGTAGCAATTCTTCACAGGATGTTTGAAAAATCATCCCCTTGGAATGTAACAATTTCAGAAGGTAACTGAACAAGGAGTTAACAGATGGCTGATCAACACCAAAGACCTTAAAATGCTGTCAGAATATTTAAATGCAATACACAACTTCCTCATCTTCAACAATTTGCTTTGGACACAGCTGGAGACAGGATGCTGCAGTACATACTTAGTCTGATTCAGTTCAGCTGTTCTTATGAGCAGTATCAGCTGGCCTGTCATCAAGCTTAGTTCAGTTCATTAGAGAGATACTATATATTCAGCTTGCTGTTCTGTTTCTTTTTTGCTTTACAATCTGGAAAAAAGATGTCTAAATATATTTGTACCAGAATCCTGTACCCTTTACTTTAGCGAATTAAAATGCAAGAATAACATGGCCTATGGAAGAGTTGTCTCTTAGTGTAAATAAGCAAGGTCCTGCCAAAATAAGGCTGACCTCTACTTTTTAGGTGACCAGGGACAAGGCAGATGGAGGGCTAACAAATAGTTACTGACAGTTTATAGATTACAAACTAGGAACTATTAAGTGATTAAAGAGAAAATAATTTGTCCTGAGTCAGCTGTTCTGTGCCACAACTAGGCAAAAGACTTCAGACTTTTAGTCACATTTTCAACATAGTGAATACAGATTAAAAATTCAAATATAGGACTTTCTTTTTGTGTTTTGAATAATGTAGTTTCTGGTGCCCCAGATTTCACAACTCTGCCCAAGTGTTACAGTATGCACTCATGTCAGTCTCATGAGCTCAGCAAGAAGAGAGATTTTGCCTCCCCTTCCCCAGGAGGAGGAGTAAAGACCAAGGAGAGAAAGGAAAAGGAAAGACCAAGTCACAGAGCATCATCTAAAAAGAGATCCCAGCCAAGAAGGCTTGTGTATTCATGTTCCAATATCAGAAGTCAAGCCATTTTCTCCCAAAGAAACATCAACTGCAACCTGAAACATACTGTCCCTATAAGACTTGTATCACACCTCCAAGTAGTAAGAAGCCAATTCCAGCTGCTTCTTGTGTTCTCCTCTGCTACCCAAACTCGTCAAAAAAAAGGTGTCTTTCCTTCTCCAATGAGATAATTGCCAATTTTCTCTACCTATTTGCTCTGGATAAATTAGGTCACCATGATTCTTTACTACTATGGAAATGGATCTGTTCTGTCAGCCATTTTCTTTTAACATGAAAAAAAGACCTGCTGATCTAGTATCATTTAAAGCAGTGAGAGCAGCTGGAACTGAAACCAATTTTGAGTGCAAGTACCAATTTTACCAGTTCTAAGAAGATGGTTTTTCTGTCTACTGCTCTTAATCTTTTAACCTTTCCTGTAGGTTGGACTCTTCTTAAGCTGTGCTACAGTATCGCACTAGTCTAACAGCTACAGCAGAGTCCTGAGAGAGTCTAGTAAGAGGCCAACAAGGTGGAGCTGAACTACAAGTTCTTAACTCAAAAAACAAAACAAAAACACAACCACTTTTCATGTGAAGAGCTACAAGATTATATTTGTCCTTAAAAATTTCTTTGATCAGAAACCCAGAGATCCGTCAAATCACAATACAAAAACAAATGCTGTGAACAGTTACAGCAGGAAGAGCTCAGTTAGCAGGAAT